GGAACGAAAGCTACAGGACAAGGCCGACGAGACAGCCTAGACCTTCTTTCCAAGGATCGTGCTCGAGAAGTGGCGGGTGCAGCAGGCACCGCTCTTTACCTTTCTTCGGACAGGCCCGACACGATGTACGCCAGCAAGACAGCGATGCAGCACGTCTCCAACCCGAACGTCTTGATGCATGCGCGTGTTCAGCGACTTGGAAGGTACTACGAAGGACAGCCTGTTTTGGTCTGGTGTTACCCACTTCAAGGTACTCCTGAAGGCATTCGTGTAGATGGTGATGCGGATTGGGCACCTACGAGTGAACTACAGCGGCGATCTACCAGTGGAGGAGCTGTGAGGTATGGCGACCACACTTGGGACTGCTACTCAGTGACGCAGAGTACGATAGCCCTAAGTTCAGGGGAATCCGAGATGTATGCTACGGGAAGTGCGACAGCCAGAGGACTTCAGTGTAAGACTTACCTGATCGAGACCCAGAGGCCCTGCAACCTGAAGATCTATAGTGACAGCACAGCTGGACGTGGCATGTGCAGCCGAGTTGGGGTGGGCAAGGTCAGGCATCTGGAGCTGAGGTACTTGTGGATTCAGGAGCGGTTGCGTCTCAAGGCGTTCGAGCTTCACAAGGAGGACACCAGCAAGATGACAGCCGACATGCTCACGAAGTACAGCGAGTGGCCGACAATCGAGAAGCATTGCACCACTCTCAACCTCAGGTTCGGAAAGCAGATGACGGGCTTGAGCGCAATGGCAGTTTTCACGGAGGTCGTGACGAAGGCGTCAGGCGAGAAGGTGACAGTGTACGGAGGATCTGACGAGGTTGCGGTTTGCCCCGCGCCTGTCAGCCACTATGTGGAGAGCGAGGAGTTCAGGTTCTACTTGATGTTGGGACTTGTTATGGTGACTGCAGCGAGTACTTTCTTATTGGGGTGCTGGTGTGGTTGCTACTTCAAGAACTTCTACGACAAGTTCTTCCTCCAGGGTGCGGTTAGCCCCGCCTCTGGAAGCACTTGCCCACCATCTGCGCGGGCTGACGTCGAGTTCAAGACCGTGTGTGCACAGCAGGACAAAGGTGCAAGGCACAAGCTCTTAAACACGTTTCTTGTGGCTGAGCTGCGAGCTGTCTTGAAGGCCAAGAGCCTGGCCGTGTCAGGGATCAAAGAAGACCTGGTCACGAGGATGATCAAGCACGGAGGTGTTCTGTCGGATCGCCAGGCCAAGGAGATCGAGCAGCTGCGGGTGATGGCTACAGCGCATGGACCTCTTGCCAAGCTTAGCTTGCAGGACATCAGCAGTCCAGAGGCTGCGCAGAAGTGGATCGAGACGTTCAAGGGCGAGTGCCGAGACCGTTCCAGAGGCTCTCAGGTGATCCACGGAGAGGGCTAGGAGAATGGTCGCAGGAAGCACTACGACGGCCGAGGGTGAGCTTTGTTTTACAGGCTGCGGTTTGCCCCGCGCCTGCCCTCAGCGGGTAGCCCCGCGATGGGTTTAGGGGGCCAGCGCCGTTGCGACGCCTGCCCAGGGAGCACAAAGAGGCTTCCCTGTGGCTCACTTTTCTTGGCTGGAGGCCGAGCCGCTTCCAGCGCCCAAGGAGAGGTGCTAGGAAGTTTGTAGTTTCACATAGATATATGATTATATAAAATATAATCTAGACTGTCCTGGAGGATCCAGGAAATCCTGCAGCCCTTTGTTGCTCGAGGAAAAGAGCGACCCTCACCTCCCCCCTTTCTCCGCGAGGGGGGTGGGTGCGCGTGCACCGGAGCAAACTGTAGGCCACTTCGTGTTCTTCGAGTTCCCAGAATTCCATTCCCTGGCCACATATTGAATGCTGAGGCAGGCTGATGCTGAGGCTGAGGCAGGCTGAGGCAGGCTGAGGCTGAGGCCGAAGCTGAAGGCAGACTCAGGCTGAGGCTGAGGCAGGCTGAGGCTGAGGCTGAAGCAGGCTGAGCTGAGGCTGAGGCTGAGGCTGATGGCTGAGGCTGAGGCAGGCTGAGGCTGAGGCCGAGGCTGAAGGCAGACTGAGGCTGAGGCTGAAGCAGGCTGAGGCTGAGGGCTGAGGCTGAGGCTGAGGCTGAGGCAGGCTGATGCTGAGGCAGGCTGAGGCTGAGGCTGAGGCTGATGCAGGCTGAGGCTGAGGCAGGCCGAGGCCGAGGCCGAGGCTGAAGGCAGACTGAGGCTGAGGCTGAAGCAGGCTGAGGCTGAGGCTGAGGCTGAGGCAGGCTGAGGCTGAGGCTGAGGCTGAGGCAGGCTGAGGCTGATGGCAGGCTGAGGCTGAGGCTGATGCAGGCTGAGGCAGAGGCAGGCTGAGACTGAGCCGAGGCTGAAGGCAGATTGAGGCTGAGGCTGAGGCAGAGGCAGGCTGAGGCTGCGGCTGAGGCAGGCTGATGCTGAGGCAGGCTGAGGCTGAGGCTGAGGCTGATGCAGGCCGAGGCTGAAGGCTGAGGCCGAGGCTGAAGGCAGACTGAGGCTGAGGCTGAAGCAGGCTGAGGCTGAGGCTGAGGCAGGCTGAGGCTGAGGCTGAGGCAGGCTGATGCTGAGCCAGGCTGAGGCTGAGGCTGAGGCTGATGCAGGCTGAGGCTGAGGCAGGCTGAGGCTGAGGCCGAGGCCGACGGCAGACTGAGGCTGAGGCTGAAGCAGGCTGAGGCTGAGGCTGAGGCAGGCTGAGGCTGAGGCTGAGGCAGGCTGATGCTGAGGCAGGCTGAGGCTGAGGCTGAGGCTGATGCAGGCTGAGGCTGAGCAGGCGGAGGCTGAGGCCGAGGCTGAAGGCAGACTGAGGCTGAGGCTGAAGCAGGCTGAGGCTGAGGCTGAGGCAGGCTGAGGCTGAGGCTGAGGCAGGCTGATGCTGAGGCAGGCTGAGGCTGTGGCTGAGGCTGAAGGCAGGCTGAGGCTGAGGCAGGCTGAGGCTGAGGCCGAGGCTGAAGGCAGACTGAGGCTGAGGCTGAAGCAGGCTGAGGCTGAGGCTAAGGCTGAGGCTGAGGCTGAGGCTGAGGCTGAGGCTGATGCTGAGGCAGGCCGAGGCTGAGGCTGAGGCTGAGGCAGGCTCAGGCTGAGGCAGGCTGAGGCTGAGGCCGAGGCTGCAGGCAGACTGAGGCTGATGCAGGAGCAGGCTGAGGCTGAGGCTGAGGCAGGCTGAAGCTGAGGCTGAGGCTGATGCTGAGGCAGGCTGAGGCTGAGGCTGAGGCTATGCAGGCCACTGCGACTGTCATCGCGAATGCGACTACGACTGCGAGAACAGCAGAACTCTACAACTGGATTCTCATCTGAATCTTAAGGGGGATGCTTCCAGATATGCTCCTACACATCGCTGTTAGGTTGCTTTGCCGGGATAATTTTTTGGGCACGATACGTCTTACTATTTTTTGATGTGTTTGATTATGTGCAACTCTGTTTCATTCTTCGTCCAAAACCCCCTGTAGGAGGACATGCCCGACCTAAGGATAGGGGGGGATGCATCGAACCCGAATGGCCCATTGATCCCCGACGGGGGCCCGATTGTCCCACCCCGCCCAGGAAGGCGCGGATTTGCTATCGGGGGCAAATCGACGATGTATCGCCGATTCCAGGTCGCTGAGTCCCCCCACTATGCCTATCCCCCCCCCTACCGTTGCTCCTCACGAAGGAGGAGAGGGAGGAGGAAACGACACCTCCCTCGCGGCTCGCCCTTCCCCCTCGAGGATTGTGTCGTGCATGTCCCTCTGCAGGAGGGAGATTCCAAAACAGTCAAGGAAAAATAGTACGGGGACGATTTTTCTATTATTGAATCGCTTCGCTCATCCCGCCAGCCCATATTGCGTTTGGGAGCCTCTTTGGGGTCTCCGGGGGGGCTCTTGGGGACCTCTTGTGGGTGGACTCTTGGCGGCCTCTTGGAGCCTCTTGGGGGGCTTCTTGGGGCCCCCTGGGCGCCTCTTGGGGCCGAGGGCTCGACATGTCCGTTCGGGTTCCCCGTCTGGCCCCTCTTTTGGAGCAGTCCTGGCATATCTGGGGCCGTCTTGGAGGCCTATTGGGGCCTCTTGAGCCCTCTTGGGGCTCTCTTGGAGGCCTCTTGGGCCGTCTTGGGGCGAAATTCGGGGCCTCTTGGGCCGTCTTTGAGCGTCGGGAAACCGAACAGATGAGAACGCACAAATCCTTCAAACAATACAGGGATATCGATGGTTTTTGCTTCCTGGGGCCCTCTTGAGACGCTTTTTCGAGGCCTCTTTGGGCGTCTTGGGGGCGTCTGCGGTCGTCTGGAGGCTATCTTGGGCGTCTTGGACCGATCGGTCGGCGACTCGGAGCCCTCTTGGACCGTCTTGGGGACTCTTGGGGCCCTCTAGGAGCGCTCTGGGGCGCTTGAAAGCCGCGCCCAGAAGAAAAAAACATCTCTGAGTCGGACCGCCCGGGGACCGCCAGGTGTACTTTTCGTCCAGGGACCCCCAGGAGCCGCCGCGCGTGCGCGAACTAGAAATACTGTTGATCAGTAACCGGAGATCTTGGCACGCCTCTGGTACGTTGGGCTGGCGAATGTTCGAATATGTTTTGAGTTGGTTTTGCTACTTTTTACCTTTTTGTCCTCCAAAATCCGCCTGTGGGAGGACATGCCCGTCCTAATTCGAGGACGACGACACTTCCCTCGCGGCGCGCCCTTGTCATGGCGCCATTATCGCAGAGCAGATTTCGTTCGGAAAACACGGGGATGGGCCTGGAGTGAATGAAGATTTAAAAAAAACGCGTGGAATTCAGGTCGTTTGTCGCTCGCCATGTCTGGGTGTTGCGTTGAGAGGAATCCGCGCAGAAATCCGCGGAAGCACGTCTGCAGGGCCGGTGCAATGACACCTCCCTCTCGGCTCGCCCTTTGATCGCTGAGAGGGGCCCGATAGCCCCAATCTGCCCAGGAAGGTGCGGATTCACGATCGGAGGCCTTTCGCCGATCTATCGGCGATGCATCGCCGATTCCAAATCGATGCACCCCCCCCTATGCCAGTCCCCCCCTATCGTTGCCCTCCATTATTTCCCCGCGGCAGGTTCACGAGATGCAGCAGAGCGCCCAGGGCCTCGCGTTCGAGCGCAGGTCGCTCGTCCGCCACACGAAGAGCATGCCCGCGGCCCTACTCGAGAGCGCCGCGGCGCTCCTGGGCGGCGGCAAGAGCGGCGAGGCCCAGCCAGGCCAGAAGAAGGAGGAGGAGGAGGAGGAGGAGGAGGAAAAGGGGGAGGGGGAGGGAAGGCGGGGAGGATGAGGAGGAGAGAGGAGGAGGACGAGGAGAGGAGGAAGTAAGAAGAAGGAGGAGGAAAGGAGGAGAAGGAGGATGGAGAGCAGGAGGAGGAGGGGGAGGGAGGAGGGGAGGGGTGGAGGAGGAGGAGGAGGAGGAGGTAGGAGGAGGAGGAGGGACGGAGGGGGAGGAGGAGGAGAAGGAGGGAGGAGGAGAGAGGACAGAGGAGAGAGGTAGGAGAGGAGGAGGATGGAGAGGGGAGGAGGGAGGGAGGAGGAGGAGAGGGAAAAGGAGGAGAAAAGGAGGAGGAGGAGGAGGAAGGGAGGAGCGGCCGGAGGGGCGGAAGGAGGAGGAGGAGGAGGAGGAGGAGGAGGAGGAGGCGGTGGAGGAGGAGGAGAAGGAGGAGGAGGAGGAGGAGGAGGAGGGGGAGGAGGAGGCTGAGGAGGAGGAGGAGGAGAAGGAGGAGGAAAGGGAGGAAAAGGAGGAGGAGGAGGAGGCTCGCGGCTGCTTCCGGAAGTCTGCGGCGGGCTTTGGCTTCTCTCTCGAAGAGAGGGCGACGCCGGAGGCGCCGCCATGGGGGTCCCAGTGCAGATATCGAAGACATCCGAGCGGAGCGCCAAAAAATCATGCTTATGCCGTTTGCTTCTTCTTCTTCTTCTTCTTCTACTTCTTCTGCATGATCGATGCGATTCGCATTCGTTTCCGGCCAGCCCGATCCGATTCGATGCCAGTCTCCCAGCGATCCGATGCGGCCCGATGCTTGCATGGCGGCGCTGTGCATCCTGGCGCAACCGATTCGATTCCGACTCCGTGCCCATGCGGCCCGATCCGATGCAAATTTCGAATCGATCCGATTTTCCGATTCGATGTTGGTTGATCTTGGGAAGAGGTACCGTTACCGCTACGCTTCCCTCGTGGCCACGGCTGGATTTGCATTGAAATCTTGGTCTGAATTCACCCCGATGGGCCGCTTAAGGCTTGGTTGGCCGCAAAAGGCCCGAGCTGTGGCCCGAAAGCTACATGGAGAGTGGACTAAGGGCGTCAGTGCCGTTTTGTTCTCAGACTTATTCCATGCCTTCTGGGCGGTGTCGCCAGCAGAAGCGGGTGTTCAGAGGATGTCACACCAGCCCAGTCCATCAGCGCTTGAAAAATGAGCTGCCTGATTCGGGGAACGGCAATGGGGGAGGAGGGA